ACGAACGAGCGCTATCGAAAACGCCTAAGCATTTGGTTTATTTGTTGATTTTTTACGCTCCTAGTTAAGGTGTAGAAAGCAATATGGGCAATGTTGACTGACTCCATATGTATATCTTTAGTCGACAATATTTACGATTTTCTATCAAATCATAACGATTTTTGGTTAAGGGTAGAGATAAATGGTTTATGTTTAATTTGAATGAGATAAGGGTTATCTATATAATATTATACACGATCCGCGCAATATGTAATGTAGAGGAAATGTAGGAGAAGGGATATAGAATGGCAACTTTGCACTTTAGAAGACCGCGAGACCCCGGTTTCAAAATTTGAGACCAAGCTTTGAGCGTTTTTATTATATCCGAGCTTGAGACCACTTTTAAAAAATCCGAGCCCGAGACTCTAAGCGCCAAAATTTCGAGGTAGTGGTAATAAATAAAGCTAAATAAAATGCCTGACCGAAAATGCTAATGGCAACTGGCGGAAGCCCACCAATATTCTGCGTTAGCTAATGCGAGTTGTGCGCCACTATCCGAGAAGCTAAAATCGCCCACCATACATTAATATATATTGAAACGAAATATTACCATATTATTAAACCTGATAAGATGATTTGCCACAGTAAACTGGTAGAGAAATCACTCGATGGACGCTTGTTTTTGTTCTGCTCTCATGGCTTCTCCGGGCGTATTATTCGTGTCCGCTCATCCCGATTCCTCTATCATCGTTTTCGTAATTGTTAGCTCCAAAACCAGCTCTAGTTCGACTTAAAAGCAAGCAAATGATATTCATATGGCAGTTGCAATATTTGGCAGTATTACTTTAAATTCGACCGTTGGGGGTCAGCGTCATCCCCGACTTTTCTCGTCGCAAATATCACCGCCCCATCAGTCTTGTTTGCCTAAACAAAGGCACATGGAAATCATGCGAAAAAAGTTTCGGTACATGAACGACTATTGATGAACGCTGTTTGTAGTTCATTAAAGAATGCTTATCTGGATTTCTCGTCGAAGAATTGACAGAGTAAAATAAATTTGTCTGTATTTTCTGTAGGGTGATTTATTGATTTTTTAATGCTGTTTTTTACATACAAATGAAAGGGAAAAAACATTACATTACAAGAAATATGCAAATTTCGTAACTAAAAAAATCTCAAAAGGAGAGGAGGACTCAAGAAGCCTCGAAGGCTCATAGGTTAGACTTCCTCTCTACATTAGATTTTATTATAGTTATTAATTAATATATACTTATGTAAATAAAGAACAGCTTATACCGTGATTAGATTAACTTACAAGTGTATAAAAAATATTAAGAAAAAGTTAATTGTCTAATAATTAGTACCAAATTACAAACGATTTATTGAGTATTTTGTAAACTAATCCACAGTTCCACAATTTCGGTCCTTGGTATAAGATTGCAAATTTTTTCATGTTTGTTCTTCTGGAATGAGGACAGTGCATATGACTCAGTTAAAAAGGACTGCCTGTATTTACGACTGTCTGTCTTTATATAGAGTGTATATGCTGTATTTACAATTCCTGACTGAAATTTTAATGTTTAAGTTAGTGTATTAGATCGACGTAAGTAATGCAAGATACTGTTATGAGTAAGCAATTGATATAGTTTGTGTAATAGTACATGATGTAAGATCTAAGCTCAGTGCAATGCGAACCTGAGTGTCAGATAAAAATAATTGAACTTCACGTGCCCAGTTGTTGTTGAATTTGCCACCTCTCGGCTGGTTGCCTTTGCTCACGGTTCATCTGGGAAACACAAGAAAAACAGGGCTAACAGCGAAGCTCTCAGTTAATAATACTTATAGACAAAAAAATAATAAATCTTGTAATGTTACACGGGGACCGCAATTAAAATGACATCAAGATCGATAGATCAATCGGCTCTTGATAGATCTAATTAGCAAAAAAAAACAAATTTGCACGTGTAGCACACTTTTTTTCTAATTAGCAAAAAAAAGCAAATTTGCACATGCAGCACGCTTTTTTTGTCTTTCTTTGCCGTTGTTTTGCATGACTATAATGCCGTTTTGCACCACTAAAACTTCAAGCTTCCTAGTTTTACCAAAGATTTTGTTTCCTGTGTTCATGTTCGCTTTTATTTTTTCACTGCCGCTCATTTTCACTTGAATTGACCGCTAGCATTTCTCATTTTCTCATCGCCGCTATGAAATTTACATGTTTCTCTTCCAACGAAATTCGTCTCCCTAGCTCTTTCTCTGTTATCCACGTGAGTGTAAACATAAAAAATAACTTCAAAAAAGACACGACTTTGTTGGTTTTTTTCTCTCTAAAAGTCAGGGCGGCCATGCAATTTTCTTCTGTTGCATTTGGGTTGCCGTACCTGTTGATTGAGTTATTTAAATTGGCGTACCTGTGGTGCGGATGGACGGTCGATCGCTCGGGCGGTGTACGGTCACGTGATTACCAAATTTTTTAGGATGGGTAGATTTACTTAGCTATGGGGCCCCGCACACGCACGCTTCGCGTGCGCGTGGAGCTCCGCAATGAGAACGAGAAGTTTACCACAACAGACAGCTGACAGCGTATGAAAGGAACCCTGCTAAACCCCTTCCCATCCCGGACACCACCCCAACCCTCGAGTCTCATTAAACTGTTTGATCTGAGACTATAAATAGATGATTGATACTTCCAATGTTATTGATGGTCGATACAAAACAAGCTAGGTGGGTATACGGTGCGATTAGTATGTATCCTAATTTTTGCGATTAAACACATTGGTTTTTCTAACTGAGGATTACTTTTTGCAATATTCAAAAAGTACCCAGTACCTTCCCTACTAGCAAAGGTCTCTCACAACGAGGCAAAAATGAGAGGAGATTGAGAGACCTCTGCTAGCAGGGATTGATAATATTTTCGTTCTTGCTAAGTACGTACAAATAAATAGAAATACCGTATTTCCTCGAATAATAGCCGTTGCTCGATTAATCGCCTTCCTCGAATAATCGCCCCCACCCCCTCCCCCCCATCACACACACATACACACTTTCTCGCCATCTTCTCTTTCTTGTATTCCTCCCTGTCAAGTTGACGTGGAGTCTGATGAGGCAGAACTCACCAGTGATGATTCAAGCTCTGACGCCGAGGATATTGACATATAACCAAATTGGAGCTCTAAAAAAGCCCACGTCTAGTGTATTTGACGTGACCATTTTTTGGTTTAATGGCAGAATAAAACAAAATATTTAGGGGAACGACCTCCAGTGAGCGAAGTTTAAATTAAAGTAGTTTTAACGATCACTGAAAAGAACATAAAAATGGCTTCAGTGTATTACCTTCTTTAAGGATTTTAAGACCAGCTCCTCATTTTTATTGAACTCACTCACCAACCACTATTTCGTTCAGTAAGTTTTGAGCCCTCCGGAACCTTTCAACTTTTAAGATTTTCCTTGTTTTCCAGCAACACAGCCACTGTCTTTCTCAAGTTTGTTTTGGAATCAGCATATCCTGGGCTTTAATTGGAAACCAGAATGCAGCTCAAGAGTTCCGAAACGCTGTTAGAACGAGTTTCGTGTGTCCTTGAAAAATTGTTTCGGAAAGTTTTAGCAGCCAATGGATGAAAAAAACAAAACATGCATGGACTCCTCTTTTTCCCGCCAAAGAAAATCCTAATATAGAGAAGGCATTTTTCGATTGACCAATCCTGTTACAGTATGACTTCGAAGCGATTTTGAGAAAGTTCTGCGGGCATGAAGTTTTTTCAGTCGTGCGTTCGCTTAACCAACCAAAAGGCAGGTGCGTTTGTATCCTTTCGATGAACCAATCAAATCGCTTTAGTTCCGTTCGCTTGTTGTTTTGTTTTGTTCGCGCGTTTTCATTTCAAGGTCATACGAAAATCTCTTTAACGATTGGAATCCGGACTCCAAGTTCCTTTGACAAGGAATCCGGAATCCAGTACCTCGAATTCGGAATCCACAGCGTTGAATCCAGAATAAAAGAAGAGAGACCTTTAGATCCTTGGACGAGAACGACTACGAGTACGAGATTTCACTTAAAGTTTTTTCGCGTATTCTCAAACTATAGACTCCCCGGAAAGTTTCAATTTAACAATTTTTCACCTGGAAAGTTAGCACTGTTACCTTTAGTGAAGTAGGTTATACCCTCTACCGATTGCAAAATGATAAAACTACTAACATTTCATAACTTGTTTCCGCCACTTCGACATTCTCGCTAAAACTCTAAAGCTCTCTACTGTCTTGGATTACTTTACATGGGGCAACCTCTCTATGAACTCCAAGAAGTGAAATGAAATTTTATTTTTCAAAAAACAATTGTCACTGAAAAAAGGTAATTGAACGCTCAGTGGTTGTGATAGCAATCGGAGGGGATACAGATTCTACCCGGTACAACAGATGCCGCGCCATGTTAGTCCAGTCGCACCTCGCTTTACGCCTGCCCCGTTAATACCACTAGTTCGTTATTATGAACAATGACTGCCTGTTGGAGACCCTGGTGTTCTTCTCAGAATGGGCTCTTTTTTGCAGAATACGGTCACATGGGACAAAAACACCTTGCTGGATGGCAAACGGAAAGAAAAACAAGGAGATTACATGATTCTAAAAGCTAATATCTTGTCATTCAAGTTTCCACTGCGTTGTTTACCATCCAGTAAGATGTTTCTGCACCAGGTAAATGTTTTTCTACAACGGGGTACATTACCCCGTTAATACGACCAATCAAATAACTTCCGGGTGAGACAATTACTTTACGAAAGCTTTCAAAGTGCGTAATTGAGCATTTAAGCTGCGTGTGTGAAATCAGACACTTCAACAGTCAGAATTACGTTCTATTTGCAACACATAATTCAGAAAGGCTTAGTATTATAACATAACGCTAACCCATTAATACATGCAAATTTTCCTGTTCCAGCCGTCATGGTATTAATGGAGTTGCACGGTACTTTTAAACATGCAAAACAGTGGCCTGACGAGTGAACTATCGTGAGTAATCAATTCTCCATGTGTCATAAGAAGGTCGGCGGAAATTCTTCCTTCTCAGTTCCCTTTTTGCTTCCTTTCTTACTCAACGATCTTCTACATTCACCATTACTGCTTTCCTTAGCGGACGAGTTAGAAGAAGCACCTCCTTGAGATACAAAAATAGAGCCCCTGGGCAGAGTGAGCCTTCTGGATAATGTGCCTATAGCTGTGACGGACTCCTCGCGAGTTCGCTCCAACTGGCCACGCCAGCGTGTAAAGAGTCTCCTGAAGGCCCTTCTATACGTTTTGTTCAGACAGGTGTATATAATGGGATTCAAGCAACTGTTCAGATATTCCAGCCATTTAACGGATTTATGAATTATCATAGGATAAAATTGTTCATCGTGGACAAAGCCAATCACGGAAACGAAGAAAGGAGCCCAGCAAACTATAAAGACACCGATTACAACCGCTATTGTTTTAGCAGCTTTTACGTCTGTAGTATATCGCCTGTTTCGACCAATACGACGCGCCTGGCGTCTAGCTACGATATATATTTTAGAATACATAGCAACCATAAATAATAGTGGAAGAGCAAAGCTTGCAACAAACACAAAGTAATTATAACCATTTGGCTCAGGCCATTGACTTTTTAAGATCCGTAAACTGGACACCACCACAGCATAAATCCATGCGCAACACAGGACAAGAAGCGCTCTGGATGACGTCATTATATGCGGATAGGCGTATGGTGCAGTTATGGCCACATTCCGGTCGGCACTGACCGCTGCCAGGTTCATGATGGATGCTGTACCGAACAGAATGTCCATGCACTGCCAGAAGAGATTCAGGTTTCCTGTAATTACTTTTTGCTCTGATAAGTCTGTAAGTTGTAGCAATAACCAGAAGGGCATCCCCAGAACTGCCACTAATATATCCGATATCGCCAGGCTGATAATGAAGTAGTTGCAGATTGTCCTGAGATCTCTGAAAGTGTAAAAGCTTGCACACACGATTGAGTTGCTAACTATAGTGAAGACTATTAAGACGCCCACGGCAACGGCATTTGCGATGTTTGAAGTTTCTGTGCGAAATAAGGGCGGAGGAACTGTACTATCATTGTTGGAAATGTTAATATCCATTATGGGACCTGAAAAAGAAAGAAGAAAGAAGCCTCAGCTAATAAGTATTGATGATATTTAGGAGATTTGCCATGCTTTTTAAGATTTTCTGACCTGATTTTAGAACCCAATATTTAAATATATTGCGTGTTGTAACAGGGTAGGCTTGTTGAACCCCGCCTGTCAGGTTTCTGAAACCAATAGTCAGCCGAGAATATGAGCTGAGAAAACCGTGCTAGCCCGCCCCTTCTCATATCAAGACGCTGTAGTAAAGGGTACGTATACTTATCGGATAGCGAGCTTATCCTTTTGACATCGCTCAGGGTGTGGAGAGGCCTTAAATTAAGTCATTGCCGGTTAAGGCTGTTGAGCTTCATTGTTTTCAACATTGTTTTTTACTCAAAAGACAGGAAAAAAAGAAGCAAATAAATCAGTTAAAGGCAGCGATTTTCACAAATTTGCGCGGTTCTAAAGACTCAGATATCGATTTTAAAATACGCGTTACAAATTTGTCTATTTCGGGAACATCAAGTGTGATGCTTCCTCGTTTTCTTCGTTTCATTTAAAATAGGACCCTTTTTCATTTAAAAATATAATTATAATGATTTAACAGTCCGAAAATAGAATAGTATTTCATGGAAATATCCATATATTTCGTGATAGGACTGTAGTGATCAACAATAACAACTTAGTACAAAGGAACCATGCATTTACCTTCTGTTATTTAAGCTTCCCAGAACTTGTAATTCCTGTAAATTACCTTAAATTTTACTTTTGCTACAAATTCTGTTTATGGCTTCTGAAAGTTGAAGTCTTTGTTGTTGTTGATTCACAATTTGTTGATCAGTCAAAAAAAGTGTTGGCATAATAATGAACGCCTCAGTGCATGTGTATCTGAAGGCAGTGTCTTAAGGAGAGAGCTTTATAGACATTCATTGAAAGTGACGGCGTATGGTATTTCATTACTCAGGGGATTGTTTTTGTGTACTGAATAGAACGAATTTGGTCAATTTGCACAGCATCTGAGGAAACAAGGAACATCAAAGGGGAAACACTGCATTAACGTAATTCACTTGAACTCTATTTCTCAGCAGTTTTTTATAAACTGAAAATAAAAAAAAAATTGTAACCACAGTAGAATTTTATCTCGCCTTAGTACCCTCTTTTACTGCCGGTTTTTTTCTTCGTAAACTGAACTGTACTTGCATTGACAGATGATCTGAGAAACGTTCATTCCCTTTCTATTTTATGGTTTATATAAAACCACTCTGCTATCAAGTCCAGAAGGTAGCAGAACTAAAAACCGTAAAACAATCATGATCAATCTCACTTAAGCCAGCGTCAATGCCCAGCTTATTTTCGCCCAATTTTATGTATTTTAAATATTTTTTCCCTTACGCACACCTGCCATGTTTTCTTCATGATATTTAGCTAGTCACTTGGCATAAAAAAAGGAGTTAATTTATTCATTGCTAAGGCCGAGTGAAAAGCAGAAACATTGATGGTGAATCAGGAGCCCATATATGAAGGCACATGGCCTAATCGAATTAAACGGCCGGCAAGTCTCATCCGCGATCCAAGAAACCATGCCAGTGTTGTTTCTTTGTACGCTAACAAGCTGACGCAATAGAAAGATACATCAACTAACGATCTCTAATATCAGTAACCATCAAGGATATTATGGTATCACAACAAACTAGCTCTTAGTTGCAGATATGTTTCAATTTTCAGTTATCTCGGTTATTTTATACTGTCTTCCTACCTCGTTTCGGTGTTACGCAATGCTGAATATAAATACAAATCGCCTACCTCGTTACCTCGTTAGTGATACTTCAGTTAAAAATCGGCACGAAGACCGATGAAGCCGAGGTTTGGGAATCGAGCATTCCGATAGCGGTCACCGAGGTCGCGTTTTTGTGTGTATTACATATTTTGTTTGTGTAATCTTCGGACAACAGAGCAAAGTAAAACTCAAAGGAATACTGTACTAAAGCCTTGTTGATCGGTGAATAACGCTGGGTAGAGGCTAAAAACGCACAACTAATTACTCATTAGTAAAGATGATATGATGTTACCATGACATGTTATGAAGTATTTCACTGTAAATACTTTAAATTAATAGATGGAAATTGACAGGTTTCCAAACACAAGACTTTCTTTAGAAATAAATTAAAAGGTGAAAGTAAACTGATAAAAATGCATAGCACGGACTGTTACTGTTAACTGCAAATTAACTATTTCTGGCATCATGATTTTCTAATTTCTTTTTTGAAACGATGTAACATTTATTTGATCACTTCATTTTATATAAATCGTTTCGGTACAGGCAATTTGGCTTGACTCATGTCCGTAGAGTAGAAGGAACGTGGCTGACAGAATTGACATAAAATACCGCAAACATTTCAGCTCTTCTGAATACAATCTAATTTGAAATTTAGATTGGCTAATGGAAAGAGATTCCAGTATCGGAACATGCGCACTAACGATATTCAAAACTCAATCCGCCATATGCCGGTTGCAGATCATGACAAAAATTAATTTGTGAAACGTACAAGTTTCTTTTCATTTCATTTCTTTTCCTTTTTCAATGTCTACGTACGTAAAGATACGAGAGTCATTGAAGGTGATAACGCTTTCATAACAATTCAGTGCCTACACATAAACTATTAATAAAATCTCAAGCAAATATTAACATCCAGCGACTGTGTCTCATGACAAGGAGTTTAAAGACCGGGATATTCTGGGTAAAAGTTTTCGTGCAACTCGAGTCTGCGCTAATAATTTCGCTTGTTACCCCCCACGATCGTATAATCATGTTTCAGTTTATATACGAGGTGGTAAGAACCCTTTTAAAAAAATCATTTTGCAACCTGACGGACAGTATTGTTACAACACCTGCAAGAATGTTGCCCGGTAGTCTTGGCCTTAAACGGATCGTGTAGCTAAGTGCATCAAAGATTTTAGACTTAATGCCCCTCAGAATGGGTGAGGAACTAAATACGAGTTGAACAACGCCCTTCGTACATTTTTAATAGCCCGCCGTTTTGGCGGAATTTTGACCAAGGAAAGGTTGCTTAAACTACGTTGATCCTGACTACTTGAACATCTCAAGCTCTAGCTTCCATAGTAACATTATCCGGGATATTAATTGTAACGTTCGTGCTCATTTTCAAGCAATTTATTGCCTTCTTGGAGCAATTTACGATATTATTGTACTTTGTTTGAACCAGAGAAGCCCCGCGATCCCAAAGCAAGACCTTTTAGTATAACAAATTATAGAAACTGACTCACTTTGTTACCTCTTCCTGCAGAAACGACGGCTGCTTGTCTGCGAGGCAATTGTCCTGGATTTTTATGAGCACCTCAGTCTGGCCCTTACATATAAAAAAAATCAACTAACTCGATCGAAAATTCAAACTTCGGTTGCATGCGAAGCGATATTGCCAGAAATTCAAAACAGTGCTGTTTTGATCTATAACTCAGATTTAGTGGCACATAAATTTTTGAACTCCCGCTGGTTCCCTTTTTTGAAAATATAATTCTCACTCACCATCTGCCGTAAGATTTCTAAAACATTTTGCTGCTGCTCAGCGAGAAAAAAAGATAAATATGTTGTGAAATTGTCTTCACTGGTCGAAAATACAGTAACTTTGCAAAAACATTCCAATTTTACTCATAAGAAATTCTAAAAATCACCAATACATTGTGGATGCATGCTGTGTGACTCATTTTGCCTTAGGTAATGAATATGATTTGAAAATTTCATATTAACCCTGGTCAACCGACTTTTTTTGTAAACTAGGTTAATTATTTAGACTCCCTCTTTCCCCCTCTTGCTAATAATATAAAAGAATAAAAGATTATACCGGAGAAATTCTATTTTGTTATGTATTGATTGAATAGTGCAAATTGATTTTCTGTTCTTTCCTTATTTTTATTGCAAATTTAGGGCGAATCATCTTTTGTGCTTCTCCGTCTTTGAAATTCGCAAAAATGATAAACCGCTGACCATGTATATTAATAATTAAAAACCTGTTTTATCTACAGTTGGTAGACACATTCAAAGTGAACACATCAAAACCAAGCCTTATCAATTTCTATGGTCAGGTTGACAGCAATGAGTAAAATCAAAATTACATTTGAATGTGTAGCAGTTAATAATTGTGGGATTCAACTGAAATGATTCAAAGAAAGGAAAAGAAAGAAAAAGAGAAGCAATCACTGGTAGAATACAAGAGGACATTCAAGTCCATTACTCACAGTAGCGTGTTAGTTATGTGACAAGGTCATTTCTTCCTTTTTCAGTTGAAGATTGTCATCTACTATATTTAGAGTTGAAAGTTTTGAAAATGAAGACGGAAATTTAGACGGAAAATCGAAAAAAACAACAACAACAAAACAACAACAACAACAAAAAAAAAACGACTTGGGATGTGTACGCAGTCAACTATTGAAAGTGAATGGTCTTCGACAAAACTTTTCGCTGGGCGTATGAAATGTAAACAGCAATGATAATTATATCAGTTACTTCAAAAGCCAAGAGGGCTGGGTTTGTTAAACGCAATTTTTGACAGCCTTTTATGTAAAATATTTAAAAGCAGTAACCAGAAAACGTAACATTAAAGATTTTCCCCTCGTTTTCGGTAACAAAAGGCCAAGCTAAAACAACAAATCTGCCGCAATTGGTGAGTCTTGTGCAAATTCGATTGTCGATTTTTTTAAAGGGGCTTTGTCAAACAATTTGCTATCTTTTTAAAAACCTAAAACATGCCTTTGCATCAATTGAATTCTAAAAATAATGCTCCAATTTTGTTATTTCAGACTATATTTAGGTATTGAAACTTTTTTTGTCGTCTGTTGCTATGGGGATGGCACGGATGCAGAAGAACTTGAAAATATTGGGCATTTTTTTTCCTCATGTTTTCATGCTATGCCTGCTAAAATTAACCAAACAAAAATATGGTTAGCGCTCCCCCATGAAATGTTTTACATCTTCTTCACAACTTTACTGGAGTATTTTGCATTGTGTAGACACTAATAACTGACCTAAAACCTGAGCAGTACATAAAAGTATATTTTAAAACACACGACTCTGATAAACAGAAAACGGGGAATAATATGGATATAAAAACTGTATGCAATGCAAGGGTAGATTTAGCGAGGGGGGGGGGGGACCTAGGTCACCCCTTTCTGAATTTTTTTGATCCGCCTTTGGTTTGCAGTCGGTTTCTCTCATCTCGAAACAGTTTGTTTAACAAGACTTTGACTTTACCTAAACGAATCCTAAGAGCAAATAAGTGCTGTATGGAAGCTCGTAATGTTTGACAGGAACAGGAGTATTATTACTGCATTTTAATCGAACGAATTCACCATGATTAACATAACTATATAGTATGGTAATAAGCTTGCATCGCTCGTCGTGCTACTAGAAAATAAAAATCACTCATCTGCTGTTGGCGACCATGTCACTTCAACTGGTCATAACATAAAATGGGATCATTTCGAAATTTTGACAAGAGGATGGTCGGATACCCATTGCAAGATAAAAGAGACTCTGCTGATTAGGGATATACAAGCTTACTTAAATGAAAATGTCAGCAGTGAAAAACTACGTGTTATGTTTCTACTGTATGTTATCTTTTGTTTCTTTAACGAGTTACTTATTCTACATTTAAATTTCTGTTGTTATTCGACGGTTTACTACTTCCGAAGATGTATGTTGGAACATACGAAACATCAAGTTAAAGTCTTTTTTTTTTCAGAAATGCGTCGATATTTCCTTAAGTTTATAACCGCCGTTTGCTTTTTGTTTCTTCTTAAGCTAAGATGGCCAAAAAACAAAAGTATCTACCATTTATATTCTCAAAAGGCGGGCTTAAATTTCTGTTGTTATTCGACGGTTTATTACTTCCGAAGATGCACGTTGGAACATACGAAACATCAAGTTAAAGTCTTTTTTTTTTTCAGAAATGCGTTTATATTTCTTCACTGTTTATCACCGCAGTTTGCTTTTTGTTTCTTAGTAAGCTAAGTGGCCAAAAAACAAAAGTATCTACCATTTGTGATCTCAAAAGGCGGACTGCAAGTATTCTCGGGAAACCCAACACCACATAAATGCAACCACCCTATCGTGTGACAAACAAAATATAACACTGTGGCATTAAGACTAACGAAAAGGTTGGACTAAGTAATCTGACCTAATTGTTAAACAAGCGAATGCAACGTTGAAATGATTCAAAAAGGGTAAGCGTATCCCATTACTAATCAACATAATCCTCCAGGCTAATCGTTTGAATTTGAAAACAACTTAAACTTCTTGATATGCAAAAAGCGATCCGGTGCTTATGAGAATAACACATGTCGGTAGAAACGCTTTAGAGCCTGAAAATTGTTGCTGTTGTTGTTGTTTTTATGAGTGTCTCAGGATCAAAATTCATAGAAAACCGCAAATTATATATCGCAGGCGAGGGGGAATTGAAAACAAACTTTTTATTCATCAAAGAGGATGATTCGTTTTTTAAAAACACCAGAAGATTAGGTAGGTGAAAGACTGAAAGACTTTTTTTCATTCTTAGTGAAATAACCTTGGCAGTGAAGAGATTAAAATATTATTTCCTGAATTTTTGACGGCGTTCCGAGAAGAGCCTCTCAAGCTAATTAAACGGGAAGGGATGCTCGTCTTGTTTAGGGGTGTAAATTACAAATTTTGCATCACCTTCTATTTAAACACCGAGTGTTAATATTGTGCACATCATAAATCATCACAAATTCCCGTGCGGAAAGGTAAAGAAATAACAACGGCAACAAAATAACATCTTCACTTACACCCTGTTTACATGGAGTGGGGGACCCCGGTTTAGTGGGGTAAGTTTCTTTTGTTTTGTGTCCCCCAGAGCGTGAAAAGAAAAGAAACTTAACCCACTAGACCGGGGTCCCCCATTCCATGTAAACAGGCCCTTATTGTGGTCTAGACGGGTCATTCATCATGACAGCGATGAAAACGTGTTTATCGCTTTCTTGGCTGTGTTTTAGAAAGGTATTTTTAAAGGAATCAAAAAAAGCTTAACCCAAGCCCAGAGGTCTCGTTTAGGGGCTTTAATTCCACATTTTCAGTCATCGAGCATTCCCGCCCCTTCACAGGGGAGTCCCCCTGGGTACGGCGGCGTATACACTAAATGGGTGCAGGCAACTAAGTAGAAAGCTGACCACCAAAAACCAATCGTACGTACACTTTACGGAAAACGCCGTCAGAGGAGGCCTGATAAAATGCGTTCTTATGTTAGAAATGTTTACTTATAAGCTGCCGGGAATGACTTACAGGTAAAACCGGTTAAGCCGTATCAGTACTTCACTGGCGCGGGGAACGTAGTCGGAAAAATTCCCTAATGTAGATTGAGTTACAATAACATTGTTGATATGGTCATTATTTGTTCATCGTTCACTTTCTCGGTGAAAGAGAAATACGTTACCAACGTAACCTATGCAGAAAGTAGGGCCAAAAAGGAAAATGAAACAGTGTTTTTACTACTGAACAATATCCTTGTCTTGCTCGGCACATCTTGCTGATTGTTTCGTATAGAGTCAAACAATAGATAAGCAATTCTCGACACTCACCGGCTTTCATTCATGCGTCTATCAACTGTTTAGTATTTGGCTTTTCTCTAAAATCGTCGACTTTTCTTCAGTGGCAAACTTTAGCTCTCCTTTAACTCTCATCCCAGTAAGTCATATAAAAAATGTACTCGCCAATCTGTGAGAAAAAAAACAACAATCATTCCCCTTGATGATGAAGAATGCAGTGTATTTTAAAACACAATACGGGATACGATAGAAGCGACCTACCAGAAATTCTATCGGGTTGATTTATGAAACCTAATAGTCTGTGAAAAACTCCGCTCGTTTGTCTGGCGGTTTGCTTTTAGCACAAATTATTTCTTGTCATCAAAAGTTTCAAAATTCAAGAGCCGCTGGAGCGCAGCCTATTTAGTCTTTTTAATATAGACTAGACAACCTTCAGTTGTGAATTGAACAAACTAAAATTAAAACCTGCATTCTCAAATACGCTTCCAACAGCTTTTATAATGAGGGCATCTTTTTTTTAAGTTTCCTTGTCTTCCTAGGTTCAGTGTTGTTACCATTACAAGCTTAAGCTTTATGAACAAGCTTAGCCCTCTCGATTTCAAACGAAACAATACGTTGTTAAAACAGCGGTTACATCGCAATCAAGAGCTATGCAGTAACCTTCAATACAACGAAACTAAATACAGTAATAACCATTCGCTATGAGTACCTTAGGTTTTCCCGTCCTTAATCCCTACAACCTGAACACTACTTAATGAAGCGCTAACATCAACTCGATTTCGATTGTTTGGGACCAGTATGCAGTTTACACTCACTTGTTAAATAACGGTCAAGACCCAATGAATCCAATCAAATTTCATAAAAGGCTCTTTTTTTGCAAATTGTTACCTCAATGCAGATCTATCAATCAACCACAACAATATACATATTTATTTATAACTGAAAGTTCCGGAGGCAAAAAAGTTGAAAACAAAAACGCATTAATCTATTTTAGAGGACCTCGTTAGAGTACCACCCTCAAAGAATTTTATTATCTCATCGCGAAAATGAATCATTATACGAGCTGGAAAAGGAATAATGTATCCTCTTGAGATTTTATCGTGCACCTGTACACTTACTTTTAGTGGCAAACAGGGACATTTCAGTAAGACGTTTTTACCTTACGCATTGACCACGAGATAGAGAGAGAAATAAAAAATAAATAAATCCTTTCAGCTTTCAGTTTGAATAAACACCAGGTGCTTGCAATGGTAAGTTTGGCCTCGAGGCACTTTCCTGTTGGCCCTGGTTGCACTCTATAAATGTAATTTTGGTTATAATGGGTTTCTTTCGTTAATACGCCCTTTTTGAGTTTATTTTTTTTTCTTTTTCTGTTTAATTTTGTTGATTGTTGTTTTTAATCGTATATACAAACGCACCGACATCCTTTTTACAGCCTAAGGAAGTTTTTCAGATCAAGAGAAATTCATTTTGTTAAAAGCTGCGAGAAAGCTCGACGGTACAAATGTATACAACCGCACTGAAGTTTGATTTTGTTTTTGGTCTCGCGGTGATAGGTAATTGTGTTCAACCTTTTTGTCTCAGTATCATAAAAAGCTCTCGTAAGCGACCGCCTCCGTAAGCGACCTCGACCACTTTTGGTATTACCCAACTAGACTTATCCTTTGCTTTTATGCTCTCGTAAGCGATAACTCAGAGTCATTCTTGCTCTATTTATTTCAAATTAAGGTTATTTTGGTGTAAAAATTTGGACATAAAATATAGCTGTGTCTCTATCGGATATAAAAACACTCATTAAACATTAATTTCTTTCGTTTCTTCATCATGAACTATTAATGAGTTTCTGAAGGTAAGAGGCCACCCTCTATCGTTTTACCATGAGACCGCTTACGAGAGCTGATTCGACCAACTCTAGTTAAGGCGACTTTTTCGAATTTGCGACGAGGTGGTCGCTTACGAGAGCTTCGAGTATAGTATAAATTGTGAATATGGTGAATCTTCCTAAAGAGTAAATTGTATCAAGCGAGTTTGAACTAACAGTATAATTGGCTTGACTTTGAACAATACGGGTGTAAAAGAAGGAAGCCAAAACTTGAAAACATTGAGACGAAGCAGTTTTCAAGTTTGATTGTATTTGTATTTGGGAACAATTGCTAGGAGCCCTGACTGATAATAGAGAAAGCTACCTTGTAGAATCAACAGATGTCTTTTGCTTGTTGGTCGGGGGAGGAAGTCTTATTGTTCGCTTGCGAGTACCCTTTCATAATCATTCCTCTAGCGCAATTTACATATAAGAACCTAAGGGGAATTTTCTGTTGATTGACTGCGCTTAAAGGGAAAATGTCCCCCATTACTGAAAGCCCTCTATTTGCAATTAGATGTCGATCAGTTATGACGATGAGGTTAGAAATAGGGACATTAACGCCAGTAGAGTGCTTCAACGTGAGTTCTCCCCTTTTTCATTTAATCTCGTATTTAAGGTTGCTAAATGAAACCGCTTTTAATTATCAGTGCTACCAGGCAGTTTATAAGACGTAATACAAATACATTATCTAATGGTAGATTTCAGCACGCAGCTTGATGAGAGTTCAGAGACGCAATGCATACTAATGTTAGATTTGAGCTATATACGCAGCTTGTGTAGGGTGATGACTTCGAGACGCAACACCTATTAATGGTGAGCCTATAAACTAATATATACATTTATATATATATATGTATAGTAGGGTTATATGTAAGCTTGTGCTTAATGATATTCTCATGTCCTTTTTTACATTGTAAAGCGCTTAGAATAGCGATGTATAAGCGCTAAATAAATTCCATTATTATTATTATTATTATTAAAGACAGCTTGTTGAGAGTTTCGAGATGCGAAAAATTTGAGCTAAAGACGCAACTTATGATGGTGTGACAGTTTCGAGACACAGCACTTATAAATGGTAGATTTAGACTCAAAGACATAGCTTATGTATGGTGAGAGTTTCAAGGATTATTAAAAAAAGTTTTTACCGTTTCAAGGCGCATTCGCGACTTATTACGTTAGTTGCTGATCACTGAAGTCTTTTGTCTTCTCTTAGAGCGCTTTCCAAAAGTCAGAACTGGTCGGCCGGACCATGGCCAAACCAGACATTTTGCCGAATGAATTAGGCTTTTTCCAAGAGGTTTTGCTGAAAAACCATCTCCTTTGTTCATAATATTTAGGATTTGACTGATGCGGATGGTTAGTTTTGATTAAAAGTGAAATTTCATTACCATGGGAATGGGCTAGCCGGTCAGTTCTGGCAAATGGTAGCGCCCTTAGACAACCCGTTTATCCATCGAATAATATTGCAAAAATACTTGTACAACAAACTGATCAGTCTAAGAAGAAGCATTTTGGTGCTAAACAAAAGATATTCCCAATTAAAAAGATCGAGTGGAATCTTGTTCAATTTCAGTGTATTTTAAAAGTACTTTGTCCTCGTAGCAAAAAGCGGCAAAACTTTCAAACAATTGAAAGTAAATTGGAACAAAGAAACTGTTGGCTAGGTAGCGTTTTCTTTAAATACTAATAATATTTTTAGTGTGTAGCAGTGCAGAGTAAAAACACAGTAAACATCTGCATCACCCACCTTAATTTGTAAACACAATATGATCTTTCACTTAATAAATCTCCTTGTTGTCACTAGTTTGCGACTTCCGATCTATGGAGAGGAAGTTTTAAACATTAATTGATGGCAACTTGAAATATTCTGCCATTGACAGACACTTGGGGAAAACTTATCGCGGTGAAATCCTGGATAGCTGAACTTCGAATCGACGACGAGCGTTATCGAAAAAGACCAATCTAAATTATGTGAATATTTTAGCGAGAGCGAGATGAAAAAGATACCTGTTATCTTTTCGACGCGATAAACATCTGTCTCGTCGGGCAAAAGGATTCATCTTTGCTCATAGAGAAAAGATAAAATATTTTAACCTGAACTGGATAGTAACCTGTAAACAATTGCTTTTGTCACGGATCGCCTTATACTTGGGATTAACAAGCAAAAGTCGGTATATATTTTTATAATGCGCGTTGGGTACTATTGCGGCACATCGCAAACATTAGTCTGGCAATTATTTTACCACTAGAAAATATTATTTTGCCACTAGAAAATAAGACATTTCTATCCACAAAGCCAGAAAATGTTGTCAATTAAGCCATGGTTAACCATATGCCCGACGTCTGATACGGCAGCGCTTGAAACTTTACTTACGTTTTTCAACCACCTGACAGAAGCTAAGATCTTAAACTGTCTGATAAGAAACAGCGCAAACAGCTAGTAACAAAGAAATAATGCACAGCTCCCCTGTTAAACGAAACTAGGCATCCCCTAAGATGCGACAACGTTTTAAATACTAGCAAAAAGATAAGCGTCCTTCTGAACAATAATAGTCTGTTAATTAATTAGAATTCACCTCTTTTGAATCATATTCAGATCACAATTTTTGTTGAGATCAAGATTCAAAGAAAAATGATCAGCTTATCGTAAGAAATCTCAAAATACAAAACCATTCTAAACATTTGATAAAGGTCAAGAACTATTTTTCACTTCTAGTAAAACTGACAGAACGGTTTTATAACCAACAAGGATTTGTAATATCTGAACATGTTCCTAGCATTTGTAGTAAAGTTTTATTTTCCTTAGCAGCAAGATAAGGTTCTTTGTGTAGATTAAGCCAATGAAGTGGTTCTGTCCTGTCTATGATCTTGAATCAAACTGATTATCACTTAGTATTGATCGTGATTATTTCTCCTTGAAAGATTCTTTTATTTTAGAAAAATGATGTCTAATTTTTTCTCATCTTAAAATTGCTTACATCAATTTTAGTTGTCATAGGCTAAAAACGGTTTCCTTCATATTAAGCCTAAGTTTATTTATTGAATTTTTAATTTGGGCTTGGTGCAAATTCAACATTTTCGAGAAGAGATGGGTTTTGTTTGGAATTTTCAGGTTTTGATGGCATGGCAATGTAAATCCATTCTTGAGGCTGTTACAGACTAAGTAACTCAAAAATTTATTTATTGTCAGAGAAAAGAGAAGTTTTGTTTCGCAAATTTTAGAATTTCCTACTTTTCAGCTTGGTTCATGCATATCAATTTTTTTGTCAGTATCTAATTGCTTAGTATCTTCTCGGAAGGTTATTTGTTTTAATATGCGCTTGTTTCAAACGGTTGATCTAAGACAAATTTTCCACTGAATGCTATAAAATAAAGTTTTGTCTCTCTATATAAATGTTCAGTTTGTGAGACCAGTGGTGTTGATACTAGTTCTCTTCCCGTGGCTCATGCGGTGTGCAAAGACATGACAAAAAAAGACGGGTTATAATAAATTTGAAAACAAAGTGTCTGTTAAGGTCTGTAAGGTTTGAAACTAGCGATAACAAGCACATGTTTTACAATGTATGCAAATTGCTGATTACCACACAGACGCAAAACACAGCTTTTTTACTGTATTTCGTTTTGTCTCTGCCGCTAAAAAGTTCTCCTAGTGCTGCCTAATGTTTCTTAATATCTGTAGAACCGGCAAAATTTATGTTTCCGTAATTCACAATAACGACAAACGCGGGGTTAATTTGTTCAAAATTATCCGCTAGGCCCACAGAAAGACGTTTCAAGTAAATTGCTTTTAAAGAAAAATAACGCATAAACAATGATATTTTGAACAAAGTCTAACAATTTATTACAGTTTTATGTTTATTTGTAGGAAGCAAACAAATTATATGATCTTTAATTTACTGCTCCAGACTAAACAGTCGGAATATATATTAAACCCCTCAAAGGACGACAAACACTGGGAGTTTTAGTTTTTTAAATATGCTGACAAGACGAAAGCCTTGAAGTTCGGTAACAGGTGGGTTAAGTAGGGTATCTTAAAACATCTTGGTTCTCTTTAAATGTCGTTAAGGTTGAGGATCCATAGCAAACAGTTTTTTATTTTTTATTTCTTTCGAAGCTATTGATGATCTTGATGTTTTGTTGCTGGTGTTTTATTTCTGGTTGTGAATCACACGACTTTCGTCCTAAAGCGATTTACTGGCAAACCGATCGATGACAACATATACTCGCTCTGTTTTAATTCGGTCCTCTCGATTTCACTCTTTAATTTGTCAGCGTTAAGCTCGCAGCAGAGTGAATCTTACTGTTTAGAATTACGCACGCCCTACATAGAAAATCGAACCGTTTTCTTTTATGGCCGTACCGACCACAAACTTTTGAGTACGGTTATGTTCATTGAGATGTTTAAATTACAGTACAATTTAACGAAAATTGAAGATCCTCAAAACTTTCACTAAGAAAGAAAAAAAGTTATTTCAGCA